TATGTATCTAGATGCTTGTTGAATTGAGTACCTCTGTACATGTGTGTCTATGCCTCTACGCAATCTCGTTTATTTGATTGACCTACTATATTTATCATTGTATTATGGATTGACTAGGTATCGCAAGGTTCGGCGTTCTATTTAGTCGTTACAAATAAGCCGAATAATAGACAGGATTCATTTTAGGTATTGTTGATCTAACTAATTGGCTAAGGAAATTGATTTTGAAGCTTTTGTGAAGTCCATGCCCGCCCACTTTTTTACATTAATTAATTTAGTACCACTCCTAACATAATCCAATGGATTAAGCTAACTATGCGAACTTGCGCAATTTATATTTTTAATTATTTTTAATAATAAATAATTGACAAGTTCATCTGCACACAAGTATTGTGCATTTTATATTTACTGGATATGTTGGTTATCGCAGGAATTGTTATTAACTGTTATTAATACTTTTGTAGTTTTATATACCTACCTTAAGTTCAATGACATTAGGCCGGTATCAGTCCAAAATGTATTATAAAATTTTCTAGATTCTTCGTTCCTGGGGCCCAAACCTCAATTTGTTTTTAATATTTCATCATCATCATCATAATTTTTGTCTTATGTATTTCAATATTCGTAATTTATTTTAGCTGAATATCAAGTTGTCTCTTAACTTCTTTGAAATAATCGCATTAAGAGAAACACTTTCAATACAAAAAAATATGTGTCTAACTGAAGATGACAGCTAAAATGTCGAAACGCGTTTAAGGTTTCTTAACATTTTTGTTGTACGATTTTATGGTTTTATTTAATTTCAAAACAGAAAAAACAGGTACCTATGTGTATTTATATATTCATTTAGATGGTTTATACTAGGAATGGGTCGAGTACTCGGTTTGGATCTGGTATAGTTGGGACGTTCAAAATTGGCATAATCCCAATAAAACTGTCGCATTTACTTTCTTCTTTCAACCTGCTAATTAGACTAGAGTGGTTGCTAACAGAACGCTTACTTTTACTCACCACAGACGTTGTAGGGAATATCGTAATCATAGAAAAGTGAAGTCAGGTAGAAATTGCAGCGGATACTAATAAAGAAAACGGAACAACATTATACCAACTGATGTGTAACAGAAAGAATTGCAGATAAGCAGAAGATCAGCATGTAGCCCAGCATCGGACTTTAAAGAAAGTTCAACTTTATCAGGCATTTAGGAAAGTAAAGATATGTGTTCAAAACGCAGTAAATAACTACATTCCCAAGTAGAAACAAGAAAGAAGATACGTCTATTGTCACGGATAATTTACTGCAGACTTTCTACTTTTTTAAGATCCGGCCGGGTACCGGATAATGACGCTGCGGACTCGGCAGTAGCAGGTAATTTTACCAGAGAAAAAAGCAACAAACTAACACCAGCAATAATAATTTAATAAGTATTACAAAAGATCAATCTAACGAAAATTAGTAATTAAGATTGTATTGGAATGGGTCGTTTGTCCTAATTTGTAATATTTATTAATTACTATTTGTTATTTCGATATAGTTTTTACGCTTACAGAGGATTTAATTGTATTCTTTTGCACCCAAGTTCACATTTAAGCCGTATAATTTTTATATGCTTTGAGAGCTCATATAGCAAGGCTTGTGTGTGAAAAATTCCAATTAATTCTACGCAGTAGTTTTTGGTTGGTGCCCTTTTAAATATGGAGAGCGATAAGCAGCATTTT